GGAAAATCCAAGACCATTTTGATTTTATACATAAAGTATTTTTTAATGTCAAATTGATATATTTGATTATTATTTGATGTAGGGATTCTATTTTGTTTGTTAGCTAAGATATTAAACATTTACACATGGTGTTAAGACATATACATGGACTTATGCTTAACATTAATTTCCTAGCAATTTCCTAAATATACTTTATTATAAAATGAGGTCTTGATTTTGAAAAATACACTACAATTTTCGGCCATCCCATTTTAGAGAGAAGAAAATTTTATTTTGTGTTCAAAGTTATTTTCTAATGTGTTAGAAATATACACAAAATATTATAAAGAAATATTTATAAGATAAATATTTTTACTATATATTTATTACTCCCAAAGTAGTATTCTTATAGTTTTTACTATCCTAAATTAAACTTGCTAGCACAAGTTTAATCTAGGACTCCGGAGCAAGTTCGTGTGGATACGTTGGAGGCTTCATACGTTTGGCGCTACGTTTATCTCCTCAAAACCATCCCCGACCGTTCCTCCATTCTCCGTTAAGGTAAATTTCTTACTATAGCTAGTAATTTACGTAAGTTGTTCTTGGGTGGAATCGAGTTTTGGACTATAAATTTTTGTTTTCCGCTGCGTTATCCAAGCCTTGTTTCCCAACAGTGGTATCGGAGCCGGCTTACGAAGTTACAAGTTTAGTAGTTTTTACCGTTATTGTTTTTGTAGATTAGTCAATAAATTTTGGAGACAAAAATTTATCCCATTAAAAATTTAATTAGGTGGCCATATTTAGATACTGGACCTAATATAATTTTGTTCAGTAATTTTCGGAATTATTGTTTGGGGTATTTTTATATTATTCTTATTAAGTAGTTTATGTGTAGAATATTTGTTATTTGTGCCATAAATACTTAATATTTATGAAAATTAGATTTTATATTTTCTGGGAAGTATTTGACATGTCAATATAACTCAGAAATTTTAAAATCGATTTTTGGAATTAATTTCCTATTTTTCTATTTTTAAATTCGTTTATTGAATAGAAAATGGGAAAACTTATTTTTGACAATCAAAAATTAATTTTAATTCATACTAAGTTGCGACCAGAGATTTTAAGCTTGTATAAAAATTTTCATAATTTGTAAACACGTAAAACTATTTATTTTGTATTTTTGAAGTAATTGGATCGGTACTATTCACTAGTCCGATTTTTAATTATTTTAAATTGCAAAATTAATATTTTAAATTCTAGAAAAAATCATATTCTGGTTCTGGAACTTATTTTTGACTTGGAATATAAATTTTGATATTTTTGGAATTTCGAAATATATTTTCACAATATAATTTCGGTTTTCTAGCTTTGAAAAATGGTTTTCAAAATTTTAAATTTTATTAATTCTGGAATTTTAGGATTTCCAGATTAATAAAGTTTACTGGGAGTCTCCAACAATTATTTGCTAATTTAGAAAACATATATATATTTAATTCGAAATAAAAGCCCTTTTTCGAATTTAAATATATATAAATACGGTAAATATAAAATATTTTATTTTCTGGAATTTAGAAAATCTAATTTCTGACATTCTGGAAATTTAAAGTATTTTATGATTTTTAATTAAATTACTTGCTAGTTTAATTAATTTATTGTTGATAGTTTATTCCGTAGAATAGAATAAACTAGGTCTGGGGCGAGCGCGGTTCGCCCGGTGTATGCTTTAATATGTATGATGTGATGCTTGTATGTATTATTGCATGGTGGATGATTGTGGCTTAGTTATATTTGTTGTAATTTTAAATACGGCCTGCGTGTCGTGCCTCATCTCTATACTCTGGATGTAATTCTCTTCTTTACCTCAAATATTCTTTTCTCTCGAAAATTATAAGAAGACAAGAAGACGAAGTCCGTTCGTGATAGAGAATCCTAAGGAAGACGTGATGGGCCGGAGATAGAGATCTCTTGATCAAGGCGCTATCGTTTGTTTTTCTTTAGGAGCCACAATCATTTCACGTTTACTTATTATGCATGTGATGTATGATTGAATGTATGCATGTATGTGATTTTCGCTAGTGCATACGCGCGGTGTATGCCATAGGCAAGACTGCGTTATAAATCCCTCATAATTTTAAGTCTGTGCCACCCCGACGCCCCGTCACTCGTCAAACCCAATTTAGATCGGTAACGGACTCACCCAAGTGAGACGCCCGGTTTACGTTGGTTAGGCGCGAAACCCGTAACTAGGGTACTGACTCGCCCCGGGTTAGTCTTAACTAAGTCTTGGTCATAAGGATGAGAGACTTAGGGCACTGCGGTAGGATCAATAAATAAAATCAGATCATCCAACCAGAGTTGTAAATTGTTACAATTGGAATTTATTCCTACCAGAAATAATTTAACTGTAGGGCAAGATGCAAAGCACAACTATAGTTAAATGAAATATGGATCTGGCCCAATTAAGAATTTTATTTAAAAGAATCCACCGAACCAAGAGTTGTAAT